TAAAGAAGGGCCTTATATGCAATGGAGATGTTTTAATACCACCAGAGATCAAGAAAAGACATAACAACATGTGTACATGATGGTGTTCATTGTAGAATAACAGCAACACAGACAATTAAAATTGGAAGTATGGTGGTCTAGGTGTTCTTGTGATGTAGAGAATTATTTATAAAAGTGCCCAAAATGTATGGAAATAAAAAAAAAAAACTTTTGGCAAACCAAGATAGATCCATAGCCTAAAGAAAAAGAACCATGGGCCTGTGTTCATATAGATCATGCACATGTTAAAGGCATGGGACTATTTTTAATTTTGGTTGACTCATTCTCTGGATGGTCTGAAGTGGTTAGAGTTCAAGATAGGGGACAGCCATAGTAAAGCAAATATTACAAGTAATATTTTCCAGACATGGCATGCCAAAAATGTTAGTCTCTAACAATGCACCAGAATTCTGTGATGAAACTTTGTGTTTGTGATTAAAACAAATTGGATACCTCCCTTATAAAACACCACTATACCATTTGCAATTGAATGGAATTGCAAAAAGAATAGTGCAGATGGTGAAAATGGGATTGAAAGCATGTTCCCCATCCATAGACACCATAGATTGGTATCTACTGAGACTATTATTGAGTTATAGAACTATTCCACATACTGGTAGAATGCAAAGTCCCTCTGCATTGATAGGAAGACAAATTAGATCACCTATGACAATGTCCTATTCAATAAATAAATAAAATCTAGTACAAAAAAAGACAGTCAAGTCTGCAACAAGATGCTTTTATTGCACAAAAGGCACATAATACAACTATAATAGCAGCAAGTGGACAAAATTTATAGGCTCATTCTGATCAAATAAGACCTAGAATTGACAATAAAGAAATCAAGATGGAAGAAAAGGAGGAATTTGAAAGGAAGAAAAGGCTGATTGCTTTTGATGGAGAAAGCAAACATAGTGTTAAAGAAACTATGGAGGATAACTTGCAGGAATCCAACATAGAGATGGAAGATGAAAATGAAGATGAATCCTGATCTAGATCTGCAATAAAAAGGACCAGGTACACACCTTGAGACTGGATGAAATCTCATACACTATAGTTCAGGGAAGTCACAGATCAACAAAGGGCATAAAACTTTGTTTTTCATAGGCAAAATGAACTTGCCCTATTTTGCATTGAGATTAGTGACTACTACTAAGTCAGTTGTCACGGGGGTGGAACTTCTACATCACAGATTAGAAGACAACACAATATTATCAGAGTAGTAAGTTTAGCTTCAGTCCCAGTACCAATACTAGCAAAGAGAGAGAATATATGTTAGTTTTTTTCCACTCTCCAAGATCCACAATGGGAATTAGTATATTCTTGATTTAGTAACACCTTGACATGGCAGAAAGACCAGAAAAAGCCAAAGAAATTAATTCTAAAAATGTGTTATACATGAAAACATTTTATATACAACACTGAAATACACAAATATAAGTCATGCTAAAATATATATATATATATATATATATATATATATATATATATATATACACAAATTCTCCCACATGGAGAAATCAAAAGGTAAATTAAGACAAACAAACAAAAAAGGCAATGAGGACAAATAAAAAGGAGGTTTTACTTGAAACATTCTCCAAGAAGGACACAATAAAACCTGTGGTATGTCTTAGGTTCTTAGTTAGGACACATGGCAATTGCACCATCCTCTGCAGTCAGCCAAACTACAAACTGAGTCTCTCTTTTTTGAGGTAAGCATCAACTGAATATCCTTGTCAACAGGCTATCATGTGATACTCAAGGTCTCCTTAAGACACCAGTATACACCATGTATATTACTGATGAATGAATATAATGAAAAATCAGGTGAAATGCTAATTAAAACAAATTGGTTATGTGAAAGAATTTTGCTATTTTTCCAGAAAATAATTTTTATCATGTTTACATACCATTCATGTAGATATAATTTCAATTTAATACAGACAAAGACTGTCATGCAATGTCATTGTAGTGGAGCTAATTTATCTTTCAGAAAGGAAATAATATCAATGTAATAGACAAAGTAATTCAGGTATTTAAAAAATGTATACCACAAGTAAAATGTGCTAAGAAACAGATAAAGTTTCAGTATAGATTTTGAATGTCATTTGTGATGAAAGAGAATAATGATAAAATTAATGAGCTTCATATACATATGTCACAGATACACTCTTTATGTCTGCTCATAATAATTGTAAACATGTCCTCAATGAGACTAAGTCTTTATTCACTGACAGAATGAAGCATCATATAGTCAGTCTCTCACATGTTTGGTTCTCATAACAATTGGTAGCTTTGTAATAGTGCGTTAAATAAAGAAACATTCTCGATTCCTACTCACTTCACTCAATTTGAGATATTATCATTTGCTGATAAAGCAAAATACTTTGCTCATAAATTCTACAATTGACTCATCTGGAATATCTTTGTCTGACTTTCCACTTAGAACTGAGTCTCTACCATGTGATATACATATTACTCCATCCATGATTTCTTCTATCATCTTTAAACTGGATCCTCACAAAGTATACAAACTGGATGGTATCTCTCAAATAGTCCCAAAAGAACATGCTCTTGAAATAGCTTCTGTTTTCTCTAAGCTCTTAAATAAATGCTTTGCTGATTCTTGCTTTCCACCTTGTTGGAAGTCCACTTCTGTAGTTCCTGTTTTGGGGCTAACTCTCAGATCCTTCAAATTATTCACCCATTATTTTTTTTTACTTCTTTTTGGCAAAGTATGAGAGGTGCTAATCAACTCCAAATTGGTTAAGCATCTTACCTTGCAGGGTTTTCTTTCAGACAGTATGATTTTCACTTCTCTAGGGAAACTGCTGATGTGTTAGCAGTTATTGCTAAAAGAGTGTCAGGCTTTTGAAAAGAATGGTGAAGCTGGGGCTGTTGCTTTAGATATCTCAAAGGTATTTGAAGGGTTTGTCTCCTTTATAAAGGATTAGGGTATTTCTGGGTAATTCTTTTTATTTGATTCAATCTTATCAAATTGCAAATTGCAAAATAAAAGTCTTAAACAGCCACACTTCTAGATATTTTTTGCATTAATGCAAGTGTTCCCCAGGGCTCTATCATTCAACCTATTTTATTCCTACTTTTTATCAATGACCTTACCAAAGTCATCAGCTCTTGACTCTGTATCTATGTTGACACTGTGCTGTTTACTCCTGTCCTTTAATGACTTTCAATCTGTTGTTAACTGGGGCAAGAAATAACTTGTTAATTTTAATGCCTCCAAAATGAAATTACTCTCTTTTTAATCATCTGAGGGAACCTTTTTTTTTTCTTCCATCAGCATAGCTAATGCTAACCTCCATTATAGTAACTCAGTGTAACATTTTTCACTGACATGAAATGGAATAATTATATTGAATCTATTACAAGATCTGCTGTTAGGAAAGTTAGTTCACTGTGTCATGCTAGACAATTTTTCTTGCCAGAATCTATCTTTCACATTTACAAGTCTCCCATTCATCCATACATTGAATATTGCTGCTACATCTGGTCTGGTGCTTCTGCTATATATTTAGAGATTCTTGATAAAATACAAAGAATCTGAAATGTTATTGGCCCTGACCTGTCATCTTGGTTTCAATCACTTTCTCACCGTCAAAACGTAACTTCCCTGTGCCTTTTTACTATACATACTTTTATGGTAATTGTTCTGATGAACTTTCCTTTTTGGTATCTTGATTTTACGAATTTAAGCACAATACTAGATTGACAGCTAGTCCTCATCATTTTACAGTTGAAATGGCAAGAGATGTAACCATAACTTCTATGTTAAGTTTCTTCTTTCACACTCCCATCTTCTTGCTTTCCAGCCAACTTCCAATCATCCTCTGTCTTTTTGAATCCTGTTATTTTAGTGTCCTCTCTCCTCATTAATGATTTTTCTTGTATTTTTACACTCATTAACCCCTTGTGTCTTAGTTACTTTGTCACTTTGTTTGGGGTGAAATGATGGAAAAAATATCTGATACAAATAAGTTCTTTCTATAAATAAAACACTCATTGAAAACATTGAGTGGGAGTTGTGTATGAAAATTTTCATAGAAGAAAGATAGAAATGTAAATAGAGCAAGAAACTGACATTCTTTGTGAGTGATAATGAAAATTAGACAATTTACAGTCCACAAAGTTAAAAAGAAATTTGCTGGTCAAATCAGTAATGCTAATGCTGACTACTTATACTTGTGAGAGTGACTAACTAATCTCTTTGGCAGATACCTGCTCAGACACATTTGTGTTTCTTCAACCCCCACAGAACCATCCTGTGATTTATACTGCATTTATGCTGAGAACACCTTACTTACAGTTGCTGAGAAAGAGAGAACCCACTCTGGAAATGCCAATATGCTCAGACCCTCAATCATGATGACTTATGATTTTGTGCTAGTACAACCATCAACAACTTCATTTTGTCTACCCAATTTCATTCAGAAGGATTGTGTCTACCCATGGTGGGTTTTTTACAACTTGCAGTCCACAAAGACTAAAGGAATGTGCAGGGCAAATCAGTAAATAAATCAATAACTTTATTTCACTATGATGTGTCGACTTAAAGTGAACCTTCTGCTGACCTTTGCAGATCATATCTTGCATTTTTTAATGTCACCTAATACTCTTGCCTAAGCTCTGAAACTTAGGAAATTGCCTGTATTCTCATTGTTAAAAAAACCAAACTGTGTTTTTTTTTTTGTCACATGGTATGCTTACACCTATGTTCATGTGACTTGAGGTCATTTAAGTGCAGTTTAATGGAAGATATCAAATAATAGGAGATAGTGGCTGCATTTTAATTTGTGGAAAGTGTAATTGAATAATAAATATAAATGCTTAGACGTTTTTTTTATTTTTTATATTTTTTTAGTTCTATTTTTTGAAATGATCAAATTAGAAGTGCGATTTCTTATCAATAAGTTATAATGCTTTGATTTGTTTCTTACCAGGTGCGCCTGGATGTTAGTCACTTCAGAATAGATGAGATCACTGTGAAGACTGTAGATGACCGCCTTAAAATCCATGCCAAACATGATGAGCGCCAAGATGATCATGGCTTCATCCAAAGGGAATTTACCCGACAATACCTGCTGCCAAAGGACATTGATCATGACACTGTAACTTCATCTTTTTCTCCCGAGGGTATCCTGACAATACGGGCTCTCAAGAAAGCCATTGAAGGTAAAAATGAAAGGCATATCCCAATTATTAAAGGTGATCCAGCTGATCTTTAAAGTATTATCTCCTTGAATGGTAAGTAAGGTTTGATTTTTATCTTTTCTATTTTCATTGTAGAGAATTGTTTGTCATCTATCGTCTTAAAACCTTCAGTGTGAATGTTTCTTTTTTTCTTTTTGCTTTGTTGACATGTCTAGACTAAGAATAGAAGAATTCCTTAGAGTGTAAATAGCATCAATGGAAAGCAAGTATGGTATATAGAGATGAAAGTTGGGCTAATGCATAAGTAAAGGCCAAATTTACTTTCTATAGTACCATTTTATTGTTAACTCCATTTGGTTACAGTGGTTAAAGTGGGTGACTATCATCATAGTCCTTTTAGTGATTTGGGAGTTCATAAAGGGTCGTTGTGTTTTTGGCTGACAGAAATTAATTTGTCAAATTCATACTTTCTTCTTCTTTTTCTTCTGAAGTTGTACGCACGGTCAAACTCAACATCCGATTAATCCCCAACCCTTGCATCTCGAACTGCTACATTGAACCAGTTTCCCACTTCTTTTGATTCTGTTTCTGCCACACACATGGTTTTTTCTTCTTTTTATTGGGCCTGACACATCCATTTTCTGTTTGATTTTTGGCAGGACATTGGTTGATTTTTTTTAATTTTTTTTATGATGTTCACTGACCTATGTAAGCTATGTCTAGCTTCCGTCAATTACCGAGGATAGGAACAATAGAAGGAAGGAAAGGAAGTATGTGTAATAGAGTGAGAGCGAGAGAGTTTTCTTTGTCTCTTAGTGAAAAGGAAAGTGTATATTTCCATATGGTGTTACTACTACCTAATCCTACTACACAATCCTCCTTCAGACATGAATTGAATAAAATTTTGGTATGCTTATGTCCTACTACTATAATTGGTAAACCTTTTTTTTCTTTTTTTTTTTACTTAAAATAATAGTACTCATTCTGTTTTTTCCATGTGACATGTCTACTTGTTTTAGATGTGTACGATTTGGTATTACAGCTTGTACTATTTTCATCAGACATACTGGTAGTAACATTTTTCTCATTGTCTATGTATTTATTTGATTTCGCCTGTAATTTGGCACTATTTTTATGTTTTGTACAGACAGCTCTATATATGGTTTTAGTCTGTCAATTGATACTTGTGTATGTAAATCATTATTTAAATCTATTAAGTAATGCTTTGGCGAACATTGTAAAACTTTTTAAGGGCCTGTATAAGGTGCTTCCAAAGGTTTTCTTACTCAATCTATTCAAAGCCATACTTTATTGCAAGTATGTAAAGAATTTAGTATGAAAGTGTTTTGTTTGTGTAATATGATGTTTTCTGTCATCATTTAACATGTCTAATTGCGACATAGATTTACATAAATCTTTTATATACTCTTCCTATACAGGAACAATATCTTTAATATTTGCATTGTTAACTAATTGGTAAGAGATCAGTATTGGTGCTCCAGTAACTGCCGTGAATGGTGCAAAATTAGATTCATTTGGAGTACTATGAATTCCTAAAAGTACAATAATGAATATGGCGGTTAACCAAGATTTCTTTCGAGCTATTATTGCTGTTTTTAATGTGCAATGCACTCTTTCTATCAATCCATTACTTTGTGGATGATATGCTCTTGTTCTTAATCTATAGAATCCTACTACTTTTTCTATTTCTTGGAATAATTCTCTTTCAAACTGGTGACCATGATTGGTGACGATATATAGTGGTACGCTGAATCACGATATGCATGCATGAAAGATTGGGCTACTGACTTTACAGTGATCTCTATCACAGGTGTTACACGATCTATACAAGTAAAAGTAAATATCAATAACGGCTGATATATTATTCTGATTCCTTTCATGTTGGCAGTAATGGCCTGACAATGTGTTTGTGAATCTTGGATTGTTGACAGAAAATGCATTCTGTGCAGAATGTCTTAATGGATTTGTCCATTTCAGACCAAAAATATCTTGCTTTTAATAATTTCAAAGAGGCTCTTATTCCAGGGTGTGCTAAGCAATGTAAGCTAGTAAATATTGTTTTACTTATACCCCTACGAACAAATGGCCTAGGGTGTATAGTGTAAATATCACATAGTATGGATCCGATTTTAGGGGAAAATATTATGTTCTTTTAGATTTTTATATGACTTGATTTCGTCATCTTGTTCTGTGCTTGTGCTACCTGTAAAGTCACAAGAATCTTTTGAATTGCGAGCGTGAGTCTAGATATACAGTCTGCAACTATATTCTGCTCACCTCTGATATATATGATGTCCGATATATATTCAGATAACATACTGTTGATTGGATTTCGCTGAGGTCTGGCTATGAAATGCCCCACACAACAGCTTATGATCTGTAAACAGCACTACACTGTGACCCTCTATGAGTGGCAAAAATGCAGTACAGAGAGATAAGCCGCGAGAAGTTATCGATCAAACATGGAATATTTTGTCTGTGCTTGTGAAAATTTTTGGGAAAAGAATCTGATTGGTATAGATTGTTTGAATACTATTTGATATAAAGCTGCACCCACTGTGTATTGACTGCTATAAGTTACTAACTGGTACTCTGTTATTGGAGCCTAATGCTGTTATCTCTACCAACTTATTTTTTATATCATCAAATGCATTAGATTCTTGTTCATTTAGCTCAAATACTGATCTAGAATTTAATCGCATGTGTTCAGATAATAGCAATATAATGCTTGGCATAATTTGGAATAAGCTTTCAGTAAAAACCAGTCATGCCTAAAAAACGTCCACCCTACTAGTTTTCCAAATCACTATGGGTAGGGGATGGAGGTTGAGAGTTTGGTAATATTCGTACATTATTCTTTCTCTTATGCCGCCATTTACACCATGGTTTGCATGTATGAGCCTTGTCTGCAAAGTACAAATGAGCTCTGCAGACTTTCGGTCTTTGCTCCGTGGAAAAAGGATGCAATCCTGTGGGAATTGTTCTGTTCTTATGTTGATTCAGGTTCTATAGCTTGGCAGAGTGATGCATTTTGAATTAGTGGCATCAAGTTATCACATAGCCTACCTATGTCTGTTAAGGGCATTTCTGTGTGTTCTGCTATAACCGGGGCAATTTGTGGTGGAAGGGCTTTAACGAATTTGTGGCATACTATTTCGTCAGTTGCCCCAATCCTATTTGCAATGGCCGACATCTCCAGTAAATATAATGATGGACAACTCTGGCCTGGTCTTTTCATAAACATTCACAACTTATTCTTTGAGTTTCATATAATTTCTTGATTCTAAAAACGGGCTGGAATGTTTGTAATGACATCGGGAGGCAAGGCACTAATTACAGTGTAAAATTTTGTATCATTGGTGGTCACTTGTCTTAAATGAAATTGGGATTCAATTATAGTGAATCAACTGGCAACACTGGTCTCAATAAATTGTGGACATTTGACATTAACTTGCTGCGTCTCCATTTTTATAAATTATAGAGGAAATGGAAGAGGAGAAAATGGTAACTTACTCAGATTTATGCTTTTGTTATGTGGTCAGTCATACTGTTTTTCTTTTTTTTTTTTTATCCTGAAGGGAGTTTATCGGAGTTACTAATATGTAACTCTTTTTGTGGAGGGTAGTCTTTTCAATGTTGGGGTTCACCAGTATGGTATATAGGGATGAAGGTTAGGCTAATACATAAGTAAAGGCCAAATTAGATTTTTGGCAGGACGTGTTGTCATTGGTTGATTTTTTTTTTTTTTTTATGACATTCACTGATCCACATAAGCTATGTCTGGGTTCTGTCAGTTACCAAGGATAGGAACAAAGAAAGGAAATATGTGTAATAGAGAAGCGAGGGAGTTTTCTTTGTCACTCTCTTAGTAAAAAGGAAAGTGTATATTTCTATATGGTGTTACTACTACCTAATCGTACTACACAAGTATTAGTCATGACAATGTGCAGAGGACAAAATGAAGACAAACGTTTTGTTGCTGATTGGGTAAAGTGGCAAAAAATGTTAGCATCTTTTAGTGCCAAATGTATTAATAATTTCATGACCCCACAGATTTAGTGTCATAGTTAACAATCTTTAAATGGCTTCATTTTGGCTCTCTGATATCCAGAGATGGGGAGATGAAAAATGAGTTCTTCTAAAAACTGCTTCCTATATGCTATTCAAACCTACACTTAAGTATTTATTACTGACAAACTGGCAACCTTTAACCTTTGTACCTGCAACAAAATGGTGTGTCAAAAGGACGGTTTTTGCCCTTGACACCACTATTGTTTGAACTATCTTCACTTCCTCGGCAATGTTTGTTAAAAAAGCGATGATTAGAATTTCAATAAAACCGAAACATGAAAGTCAATTTATACATTTTCTTTGTTCTTTGAGGATTTACAACAAAAATATTAAACACTATTTAATTATTAGATTGTTTATTTAGAAAAAATAATTTTGTATTTGTAATATTATAAGAATGTGAGTCCTAAAAATGTAAACCAACTAATGCAATGCAATGTTTATCTTTTATCTATTTATAAAGAAATAAATATTTTGTAAGTCATTGATACTTTTATAAAATTATGACTAAAAAACTTTGTTTCATAGTTATTTATAAAATGGTAAAGAATAAATATTGCATTGTACTTGGTTCACATATTTTTAGAATCTTGTAAATAAACATTGTTGATGGAGGGAATGTAGTACAAAAAATAGCGTAATGAAAGAAAAAAAACTGTCTTTATGACACACTAATTTTGTATGGACATGAAGGTTAAAGTTTTCTGACAAACATGTGAAACTTTTTTTGTTGTGTAGATTTTCTATTATTTTGCTACTGTTCCCAAAATATTACTTTGAATGTTGAACACTTCCTTTTTTTTTTTTTTTCAGATTTACCCAATAGAAAAAATGCAAGATGTTTCCTGGGAAGATTCACCTGCCTTTATCTGTATTGCCCTTTCTACTTTCTGCCATCCGCACTATTACCAATTAGCCATCCTGACACTAGAGGACAGTAAAGCTGATATTATTGCCAAT